TATAAATAATTCAAAAAAAAATCAAAATATTATATCACGTGTAAAAGACAAACATATTTTAGTAAACATTTCAAGTTTTTGTAGTTATTTGTTCTTGAATTACAACAAAATAATAAAATAGTTATTATTTTATAGATAAATATTTAATGTAAAAAATTTTATTTCAATAATAATAAGACTTCTCCATCAACTTTTTTTTTTAAATTAAATTAAAAAATTTAAGAGAAACGTTGTATTTAATTTTCAAATTTTAGTTTCAAGTATTTTGAAAATTATCCTATGTGTGGGAAATTCGAATTAAAAATATTAACAACCTATGGTTATTCGTTGTTAAAGTACATCATTGATTTTGAATCAATTAACTAGTCCAATATTAGTTTTGTTTAAAAGTGCATATTTATACTTAACTTTTTTTTTCAGTTATTTAGAAAATACCAGGAACTTATAATAGTGGTGGTATATTTTTACACCAATTAAATCCAATTTTCTATAAGAAACTAAAATCAATGTATATTTTTATCCACCAACTTATTATGTATACATGGACAAAAAAAAATATTGTAAGATCAATAAATCCAAGTACACAAAACCACCTATAAAATAAAAATTAAAAAAAAAATATTAACTATTGGTAAAGAAATGACAACATTAATCAATAGTTATTCTATAAGATTATAAAGGATTTAAATCCTTTTATATGAATAAGTAAATAAATCAAAATTTAACTGATAACAGCTCCTTTGAAGAATTAATGACTGTTCATTTTTCATAGAAATATATATATCAACTTTTGTATGACATGTTGATACGTTTTACTTTTCAATTCTTAAATATTTTCTTGTTTTATAAAACTACACGGATATTTGATAAAAACCAAAGGTTCTATAAAATAAAAAAAATAAAGCCATAAAATAGAACTCAATTGTTTATTTATAAAAATCCATGGTTTAAACAGATTCTTGGACTGGTGGCTCATAACCTTCAGGCCTGTCTACTTGAACACCTGTTTCTTCGTCAACAACTGTTGTCACACCTTCGTCACTGTGGAATTCCATCAATTTACCAATATCCATACGTGGTTTTTTCAAAACTTTGACCTAAAATAAATAATGTAAACATCATCAGCATTCATAACATAAAAACATTTGTTTATGGGTTAAAAAAAAAAAGTACCTTGCGAATAAAAACATCGTGCAATGGATAGATGCTTTGGCATTTCTTTTCAATTTCCTTAGCAATTGAGTCAGGTCGGAGCTTATTCACTACTTCTTTTAAATCAGATTTCACTATTTCTTCAGTAATAGTTTCTACCATCTTCTTTCTTATAGCTCTGACCTGAAATAATAAATATACATTATATACATAAATAGTAAAATATATTAATTATAAAATATTTATATATAAAGAATTTTTAATTTGAACATTTTCCAGCAATTAATTTGAATTTAAAATTTATTTTTTATCAATTTTCTATCAAATTTATTTTAAGTAATCTGCCCATCAAAAAACGCATTTTTGATAACGAATCCAAATGAATCAGTGTCAGTTTTATAGTTAAACTTTCTTATTAGACAAAAATTAGAGTTCAATTTCAGTGTAAAACTTGAAGCAATAAAAAAGTTTTGATCAGCACACATTTGCATTCTTTCAATAGATAGTATTAAAACAAAAATAAGTTAAATAAAGAAAGTTTTTACCTGAGTGTGTTGAGCATAACATGTTTTTCTTGTGGACGATTGATCTTTTGATGTAAACCCAATACAAAATACACGTAATAAGTATCCATCAGTAGTCTTTACATCAACATTAGCTTCAATCAGGGTTTGCCATTTCTTTACCATTGATCGCAATTTATCAGTGGTAAGATCCATTCCGTGGAAATTGGTCAGAACATTTCTGCCTTTAACATCTTCAGCGATCAATTTGAATTTACGGAAACTCCTCTCAGCTCCATCATCTTCTTGCAAATCGGCAAGCGAAACTTCAAAGACACGATGCTTAAGACCTTCAGATGCAATTTCTAAAAAATTTAGAATAAGCATGTTATTATACAATTAACAATAACAAAAAATTATGCTCTTTAAAAACATTTATTATGTATCGCATCATTATTTATAGACTTAAGTAATATTGCTGTGCATAATATATAACCTCATAGTTAATTCATTAGAACTTTGGATAAAAATTTTTTTTGAAAAATAAAATAATTTTATTAATATACTTTATATTTCCATTAATATATCTATTTAGGTAGCGCATGAAAGACAAAATAATTTACAATATACAACATGATTATGCAAGGAAAATAAATTATTCAAAGGTGTTACATTTGCATAGCAGAATTGTTGGCATTAGAATCAACTATACAAAGATTTAAAATAAATGCTTTACCAATTAGGACAATAAACTAGATATTGTAATAATTAACAGCATCAGTCATTTAAATTATTGATAACACAATATTTGAGTCCATCATTTAACAACACAATACTTGACCAAATTAAATTATAATAAATATATTGATACCAATTTTTCTTTTGAACGAATAAAACAATATTTTAATTTGTATACAACAAAATAAGATAAACTTTAAGCATAAAAGATTATATAGCTTAACGATGGTTTGAATGAAGGGGCGTCTAGTGACACTTTAACAGTACCTGCTAAGTATAAATATTATGTACCTATATTATTTTAATAATTTAAATATTTAAAAAACTATCATTTTTACTATTTAAAAATAATATAATGTAATTTAAGAAGCCATTGAGTGAAATTTAAAAGTAGAAAGCTGGTAGCATACAGTATTTCATCAGTCGATAAATTGAGTTTTTCTATCCCTGGTTTAAAAAAACGTGTATCAACACGTATTTATACAAAGCTTTAAATTTAACGACACAACGTCGTTTTGTTAAAATCAACAGAAGTTACGGAAAAATTATTAAAACACTTACTTGTTCCCTGTGTACGATTGACGAGTGTTTTACCAACATCGCGGTTTGTAAACATGCACGGGGCACGAACATTGTACCAATCCTTCCGTGTGAACGGGTCGATGCTGAAAGAACGAAATACAATACATTAAAAAACGATTTAAGTCAAACATTCTAGGATATGATAATTTATATACGTAAGTTTGGTTACGTTAATCAAAAATATGTATACTTACATCTTTTTCTTTAAGCCTTTCTTGCCACCTTTGGACAGCCCTTTGTTTTTGCCAACAGCCATGACGGAAAAGTTAGTAAATTAAATGAACCCAAATAATCCGAATATCTGCTAAACTATTTCAAATGAAATAGAAATTGGGAAGCATACAATGATTCCAACGTGGTTTGAAAAAGGTAGATATCGACACTTAATGGCGAATAGGAATATTGCCGACGAGTCACATACGCATGCGCAAAATGATTTAATCCAAAGACATCGTAAATGTTTTAAGGTTATCTAAGCAAAACGAACGTGAAACATTTATACAAATGGCGCCAAAATACGAAATTTTGAACACAAATACAATTTATGTATATAAATATTTATAAACGACATAAAATTTATATTTTTATTTTAAAAATTTGAATAAGTAAGAGCTTAACCCTTTTATACATTTAAACGTAAAAATAACAGACAATATTGAGCTATAAGGCTATTAATATGCTTTAAAATTAGGATAAACGTGTATAAAATAATTATGACCTTCTCTAATGATTTTGTGTAGCATACTTTGAAAGAAAAATCTCATATTTTTTTTTCTTAATTTATCCATGAACACAACAAAAACTATTATAATTAACATTTTAAAGAAAATTTTGTCCAATGACTGAACCATACTATACTTTATAGTTTATATCTAGTTACTAAAGAGTATTTACTATAGTCTAAAGTAGTGTAAATTTGTAACGCTGTTAGATAAAATTCTATAGGTTATCCATTTATCGATAAGACAAGTTTCTATCACCTATACTTTTTTTTTAAATCTAAATTTTTAAAATTACATTTGTAACTTGTACTGTTTTATAACGCGATTAGTAGTGATTTAAGTCGATAAGATAAAACTATTTCACATTGAGTTTTTGACAGGAGAGTTGAAGGGTTATATTATTCATACATCGTCTATGACACTTGAATTAGTAATTAAGACAAGTTCAAAAAATCTTTTCATCTTGAAAATATTATAATTCCTAGAAATGGATGTATGTTTGCATTTGCCAATTTCCCATGACAATTAATAAGTCACACGGAGTCAGGGAAAAAATTTTGAGAAAGTTGGATTATTTTTTTACATATATGGAAACCTAACCTATTTATTTACATATGGTCAATTATACTTATACATTATATTTTCATGACATAAAATTCGTGAGCGTATCAAGGTTCAATACTAATTTGAAAAGAAATTAATTGAAAATATTGTATTTGATGAAGTATTATTACATTTGTTACAGTAGATACAACCGTATAGGTATACTTATGTTTTACTACAACGTTAATAATTTATAATGTTTATATTATTTTTCATTCAGATTTTTATGATAATCATAAACTATTTTAATAGATGAGTAAGAGTAATGCAGAAAGGACCTATATAGGAGAGCTCGAGATGAGCCTTTTTCGGATGCGATTTATCGATTAAACTAAACACCTTTACGCTGGTCTATATTATGATTGTATTTTTTTGAAATTTATTTATCCATTTTTCAGACTTATATTTTATCATAAGTATGTGCATTGTTAGCTATGTATACACTATGCACAATGAATGTTTCCATTTGCACAAATTTAAATTAATTTTGTTCATCATAACATAATAATTAATAATTATTGATTAGCTAAAATGTTTATTTAGACTAAAGTGGTTGAAAGTGATAAACAAGTTATTTTTAGATATATCTATTGAAAGTTAAAATAAGAATTGGGATATAAATTATAATTTAAAAAATTATAATTATAATAATCAATTATACGAAAAAAGTGATAATAACTTTAGTAGATAAGTATAAATTTATATTATATCTATGTATGCAAGCTATGCCGTCACCTCGATCACAGAACAATATAGAAATTACATTCAATCAGCTGGGCGGTGTACTGTATCGTCTGTAACCCGATCGGTAATATTACTATATTGGTGATTAGTTTTTTAAATTTTTATTTTTTCTCAATTTTTACGATCAAAATTTTAAATTTTTATAGCAACTCATCTGTATACGGAAGTTAAAAACAAATTAATAACTCAAAACAGAACAATATGGCTTGTAATATTGATCAGTTTTTAGATCAGAATACACCGAATAATGAATTATTAAGAGGAAAATATATGAAGTAAGATTTAGTAATATATTGTTGTATGTTAATAAAATTAAAATTAATTATTTAACCTTTAAACATTCGATTTTTTTATTTAAAAATACAGTTTTTATTTATTTATTTTTATTTTTAAGTGTATTAGTACATAGTAAATTGAAATTGAAATCAGTAAACACTCTGTTTCGAATGATACATATGTATTGTAATATATCATTTAATATTGTAAATTAAATATGAGTGATTGTTTAAGTTTTCGGATTTAAATTTAAATTAATATTGGTTTTACAGAAGTTTTGGTTATCATTCTCTAATGCATAGAATGCCAGATGTATTTTCTGCAATGATTGATTTATTAAAAGCCGAACAATTAAATGTGGTAAGAACTTAATTAACGTGTTTATTTTTTTGCTTAAACTAATAATATTTTTATTTTTTAATAAATTTTAAGATATTGAATAGACTTGCAAATTCATTAGGTATTGTTTAGTTTAAAATATAAGAGGTAATAATTATAAGACTATTAAAGCTATTCATCATGCTCACTTATATTTTATTTTTAAAGACAAACAAAGAAGAAATAACTGATGTCATTAACAAATTGGAATTACTACTTTCTGAAATATTGAACAATAAGCCTCTACGAAAAATTGATAGTACTTCTACATTATCATTAATGTGGAATCAATTATTAGAAAAAAAGTTTAACTCAGATTCTGTTGTAACATGGTTTGAAACAGAATGGCTTTTTACCGAGAATTATTTGTACATAAGAATAAAAGAGATTTTCGAAAAAACGTAAATTATATAAATAAACGAATACACTTACATACATTTTTAATGGATTATGTTTAATATACTTGTTTACAGGAAAACGTTGAAAAATTATGACCCTTTTAAACAACTGAAGTATAACGCTTTTAATGAATCTGAAACTACTATGATAGCTATAGCAGAATTTTTAATTCTCCAATTTTCAAAGAAAGAATTGAACAATAGAAATTTGCAAACGATTTTCGTACAAATGTTAAAGGTATCTTTTTTTTTTTTTAATTGATCTTATTTAAGCCCGGTAACTAAGGCCAATAATTTTGGATAGGAACAGTAGGTTTTTTGTGTAAAGTTTGTTTTTAAAGTTTGATTAGTACGGTTGGAACACGTGTGTGTGTGCACCATGGATTTGTCACTAAGAACTTAGGTGGTCACCCATCCGAGAGCTAGCGACGCCTCCTGATGCTTGATCTCAGAACACATTAGTGACTGAGGTCAATCACCATGCCACACCAAGCGACAAATAAATGTTTTATATCATTGAATATATTATATTTAATGTTATGACTGATCACAAATGATAGTTATTGAAAATAAAAATGTATTATTGTCATAGTTCTTTGTACTTAACATGTTTTTATTATTTTTTTTTTGAAAGATTTGTTTGTGGGGAAATAGATTTGATTTATCTCTTAATATTGGAAAATCAATAAACATTACTGAAGATCCGTTGAAAGCTGTTGTATCTCTAGATAAATATATTTTGGCTGATCATTCAGATGAAATTTGGAACACTTTGAATGTTTCAAATGACAAAAATCCTAAGATAATTGGTAAATAATATATTAATGATATTTAATAATAATTTATTGACAATTTGTTTTTGTTTTCATTATTATTAAATTTAAATAGACTTATTAATCTATTGTTTTTTACTATTGTATAATATACATACATTTAAATTAATTAAATTATTTCAGATATTATTTTGGATAATTCGGCTTATGAACTATTTACGGATATGTGTTTGGCAGACTTTTTTATTACTTATGGATTTGCTGAAGTCATTGTTTTTCATGGAAAATCTATTCCTTGGTATGTGTCAGATGTAACAAAACCAGATTTTGAACAGTTTTTAAATCGCTTAGTAAAAGAATGTACATCAAGTTACCTTCAACAAATTGGAAATAGATGGAATGATTATTATAAAACTGGTTAGGTTTAATTAAATTTTTGATTTTTTGAGTAAATTGACTAAGTATTTAAATTTTAATGACTGTTTTTTACTTGATCACATAGGTAAATTTGTAATCAAATGTGAGGAATTTTGGACCTTACCTCACTGTTACTCTACAATGGCCACTGAAGATTCAGAGTTATATAAAAAATTAGCTTGTTCCCAATTGTTAATATTTAAAGGTTAATTTTAATTTATAATAAGTTTATAGATTGGAATACATTTATAATAATTAGTTTTTAAAAATAATCTAAAAAATTAAATATTGGGTTTTTTGATTGTATCAAATATAAAATAGTTTTTAATTCAAAGCAATTAAATGAGATTAATATGATATTTTTTTGTAGTTTGTGTAGAAGAAAATTTTTGATATGATTGTACTATATTTTGTTAATTTTGATTTTTATAGGTGACTTAAACTACAGAAAACTAATTGGAGATATTAATTGGTTGCCATTAACTACGTTCAAGTCTGCCTTGTGCCAATTTCAACCTACAGCTGTAGTAGCTTTACGTACTTTAAAATGTGACTGTGTATGTGGCCTCAACTGTGACTATGAAACTAAAATTGATGAAAATGATAAAAATAATAATTATCTTAATTCCACTAATTACTGGCAAGTTAATGGTAAATATGCTGTTGTACATTTGAGTAAATAGTTGGTATTTAATAAAATATTCCTATGTAGTGAATATCTATTGTTTGAGCTTAAACTTTTGCGAGTTATAACTTAAATATTGTTATGTAATTACTTGTTATATTTTTAATAAAGTGTCTTATTTACATTATATTTCTTATTTTTTAATTGCTGAGATAAAAGTTTATCCAAAATCTAAAATGAATTTGTAAATTATTATGAATGGACAAAGTGAAAGAATAAAAAATAGAAGTTGAGTCATGACTCATGATTATATGTTTTGAAGTTATAACAATCAGTTTGATTAGCATTACAATACAATTTACAAATATAATAAATCAATAAAATGTATAGAATTATTTATAATGATTTAATAATGATATTTACATACAATTTTTTTTATTAGTAATTTTATAATATAGTAATAATATTATAACTTGTAAGAATATAAAATTGCTGATTACTTCCAAAGCAAATTTTTTCAATATTAGTTTCATCAAAACGTCTAATGTAAATACTGAGACATTTAGTTATAGAATAATTGTTAACAATATTAGTTAATTAAATTGATATTGTTCAACTTATTGTTATAATGCACTTAAAATTTAAACTTTTGTATTACTATTTGAAATAAATCTATAAAAAATGACATTCCAGAATAATTTAGTTCTAGGTAACATGTACTTATAATTATAAAACAAAATATAATAAATATTATTAGATCATTACTCATTAAAATAAAACTTGATATCATTTTAAGGCTGTTAAACATTATGTTTTAATTTTACTAATACAATATTATATTTGATAATAATTATTCCTTATACATATTATAGGCTATGGGCTATAATTTACTAAATATCATTGCTATTTAAGCTATTTTGTATAAATAGCCAAAACTAAAATTTGTAAAATATAATTACAATAATAAAATGGAAATCTGTTGAGTATATATATTAATCTGATGTTAATGATGTTTCTATGTTTGTTGATTGCTGGAAAAAGATTAACAATCGATCATTGGTCACAGAATAGGTATATTATAAAAATATTACTTCATAATATTGATATTGTTATGACTGTTATGAGTTTATGACTAAAAAACATCATTAAAAATAGGATTTTTTGTTATACTCTGTATTAGGATTATGTTTAAGCTTATAACCACGGACTAAGATATACAAGACTGCTAACAACTGGATAGCGGGATAAAGGGGGCTGTCCAGTATCTATGAAAAGTAATAGGTGATGCGGTATAGGATATCTAATCTGTGTGCTTATGTCGCTTATGATATAACAATTTATTATTATTATCTCAATGAAAAAACTTATTATTGATAATTTTTATCACAGAATATTATTATTCTGTGATTATATCAACCTATTTTTATAGTTCGTAATCACTGATAAGACAAATGTTAAGCTTTTAATAATCTTAATAGATAATAGTTAATAAATTTACAATTTACATCGTTCGTTGCTCATAAATGTTAAATTGTTAACAATTTGTAATTAACTTATTAGTTATATTTTATTGAAATTATTTTCTACTCTCACAAGTCATTGACTGAGTCTAGTAAGGATTTTATACGATTGTTTGGGATTTGAAGTGTTGAGAATCATGTCCAAAGACAAGATTCAAGAAGGAAGAGAGTGTATGGATAAAGCTGCGAAATAGTAAAATCATTTTTTATATTCTTTCGCCTGAATACTAAATTGTATTTCTTTATTGATTGATACCTAATGTATCGTTTTGTTTCAAGTCTGAAGACATCTTTTTTAAAATGGGTTCCTGATTATGATAGCGCGGCTGACGAATACTCAAAAGCAGGTATACTATATACTATAGTATAGAGTACCAGTAGTTACATTAAAATTTATTTTTATTATGTAGTCTGTAGAAATTTAAGTTACTCAAGTGTTTGATGAGAATTAAAAATTATGTTGAGTCAATAATTGATATAAGTTAATAATGATCCTATGATATTAATTTAAAATAACTTAATAATTGTTGGTTATGGCGATTTTATGAATTGGTAATTTAACATAAGTTGAAATTTGAATAATAAATTTCTCTTATTCTTATATTTGAAAAAAAAACTTTTAGCTGGCAATATTGTTATACCTTTTAAAATATAAATCATCCTTCAAATTTTACTTAGAAATTACACAAACTTGTTCTTAAATTAAAAATTATTTTTAGAATTTTTAACTGACTTGAATAGACCTATAATCAGCCTAAGAAAAATAAATATGTTCTTTTGTCTACAGTTGTTTGCTTAAATCTTGTTCCTGAAATGAATAAAGAAAAATTATATTGTCTTTTTTTTTCAGCTACTTGTTTCAGAGTTGGAAAATCATATAAAGAGAGTAAGGAATGTCTTATCAAAGCATCAGAAAACTATTTACAAAATGGATCGTATCCTTTATTTACAAACATCAACATTTTTATTAAAAGATATTGGTTATCTTGTATGATCTCTACTGCAGATTCCAATCTACTAGTGGTTATATGTTCTTTACCGTGGCAAAGCAATTAATAGTTATTAATACCTCTTCCTATATTTTATTCTGTATTCATAAATTTCAAATGCCAACATATTTGGTAGCAGTTTAAGCCAAGCATATTTTTTGAAAAACTAACTAAGTTTTCAAATTTTTAAAGTACAATTTCTATAACCTTTATGGTAACTTATATTGTGGTAGAGGAAACTTAATAATAAAATGCATTCATTTTATTTTTTCAGGGACACAGCAAAGTTTTTTTTTTTAAATTAAAAACATTTTAATCAATACCTAGCTTTTTGAATAAATTTTAACTTTTTGACAAAATATTTTATGAAAATTGAAATTGAAGCTTAAGTAGATTTAAAATCTTTGTATTTAATCTAGATAAACAGCATGGCTTAATGACTATGTTAATGTTATAATATAACTAGTATTAAAATGTAAGATACAACTGAATAGTGTCAGAGATTGTATACTCAGTTTGATGTTTAGTGAGTAAGTGTCTGCATATATCAAATCACTTAATTTCTAATGACATTGATGTCATATTCTTATGATAGTTATAATTTACATTCATTTAAAAATTGAAAGATATCTTAGTGAGTAGCATTATGAGTAGAGGTTTTATAGTGAAGAACAATATTGTTATGTGAACATTGTATTGTTTATATTAACCAAATTAAATCAATATCTGGTATATTTGTATTGAAATTGCATTTTAGGTATTTCTAATTTTAACTATACATAACAAAAGAATTGTAATAGTAAAGTAATAACTATAAATATGAATGGAGTGTGTTTTGAGTTAGAGTGCATACTGCAATCACAATGCCAGTAAAATGTACATTACTAGATACCAAAAAAGTTTATTAATTTATCTTAACACTATTCATACTAGACTTTTCCATGCTGCTAAGTAAGTTACCACCTCAGTTTTTGTTTCCATTTTTCAAAACTGATAATATGTTTGTTTAGATGTATGGATCAGGCAATTATAATGTCTAAGGAGATAGGCGATATGAGTGAAGTGTTTAAACTGGCTATGAGAGCCAGTCACTATTATCAGCAACATGGATCCTCTGGTAGTGCATCATTATTGTTGAACAAAGCTGCAGATATGTTACAACTATCAGATCCGGAATCAGCTGTTAAGCTCTTGAAAGAAGCTTCAAACATTTCTGGGGTGTGTTGAATAAAAGTTTACATTACATAACTTAATTTAACTGTTTAGAATGTAGCAAAAATCTTTTATTTGGAAATAATATTTTTTTTTAGACTGAAGATTCGATTGGACAAGCAATGGAGTATACACACAAAGTAGTTCGACTGTTGGTAAAATTAAAAAGGTAGTGTTTTTTATTGATTTATTTTTATTCATTAATAGTACTCAAAATATTTTTTAGGTATGAAGAAGCTGAAAACGAAATAAAACGTCAATTTGATCTTGTTACCGAAGGAGGCCCAACATCTAACATGGGTAGAATAACTGTTGAACTATTTTTATTACAATTGGCTAAAGATGATAATGTGGCCGCTAAAAAAGTATTGAATGATTATGGAATGCAATATTGTGAACAAGCAGAGGTACAAATACATTGTTATACTTTTGTTGTAACAAGATTAAACACTAATTTTTGTATGCCATTAGATTCATATGCTTGACAGCATTGTAAGTGCATATTCTGATCATGATGGTGCTCAAATCAAAAAAATGTTGAACAGTCCTTTTATTAAGCACATGGATGTCGAGTTTGCAATACTTGCCAAGGATTTGGCTGAAAAATGTATAGTGGAACCTGTATGCTATGATTGTTATTGCTATATGTTCTACAATTATTATACTTAATTATATAAATTTATTCATGATTATTAAATTTATAGAACGAGCAAGTTACCAATATTGAAAATGAAGAGGCAGAAGGATCATCAACAGACTTTGGAGGGAAGCTTTGTTGAAGTAGAAATTACCTTTTTATATTCTACCTTATTTATTCAAATTGTATTTGTCTCTTAGTTTGAAAGAGTTTAGGCTAATAATTTTATTCGTCCTATAAATCTCAGTAAGTATAAGTTTTAAATATTAAATATAAATACAATAATTAATAACTTACAATTGCATTAAAAAGTAAGAGCAAGTAATATTATCAAGTACATTTTAAAATAATTTTAAGTTGCACAATAATGCAATAGAAAAAAATAAGTTACCTTGACATTGATTATTATCTCAAAAACAAAGTAATAATTAAAAATTATAATTTATAGTATTATAATAGTAAAATAATTGTTAAAAGTTGGTGGCAATGGTTTTTGAAAAGTAAAATTATTAAAATACAAATACATTTATAAAAATTAATTAATTATTATTGTTTTTATGTATTTATGATTTAGGTTAAATGGACTAACAACAATGAAACATTGCCATTTTAATTTTTTCAATACCTTTGTAGGTAGGTATGTACTTTTGAGGTTGAATTTTGAATTGTTATTTATTGATGATATTATTGTTTAACTGTAAATTTATGTAATGTAGATTATTAAAATATTTATAATACATGAACATTTTTTTAACTAATTTTTAAAACATTAACTTTATTATTATATATCAGTCACAATTGCATGTGCAACATTCCCAATTAAATAATGTATTTTTAATTACACTCTACTTTGTTTATGATAAGGCCAACAATGTAATTTTAAATTGTTTAGTATGTATTTAATTAAACAATTATAGTAAGTACTTGAAATAATACGCTTCAACTAGAAAAATATACACAATAGTTATTTATAAGAATATAATTGTATTCAATTTTTAGTTTCAATACAAAATATATTATTATACACTTATAAATTTGTTTGAATTTATTATTGTTTATTTAATAAATATATATCCTACTTCTAGTATAATTTACTCAGTCTTATTACAGTGCACATTAAATATAAAAAGGACGGAATTAGTTTTAATAGTAAAATAATTTATGAACAAATCTTGACTTGAGTAACGTGCTATCCTAACATGAGAGGTGAAATAATTCAAAAAGAAAGTATAACCTCTTTCTTACACAGTGGACAGTAATTTAATGGACCCATATCTATGGTAGTTGCACTCCGTTTGCATTGTCTGCAACACCAAAGAGATTTGATGTCTGTTAATGGTTGACCCGTAACAATACTGGCTTCTGGTTTAGTTTTACATTTTGGGCATTTCAAGGACCTGTAACATACATAAAATATCCTTGTGGATGTAAAACCATTCAAGTGTGGATGTATTGGATATTTTAAAAAGTGAAAAGAAATTACCAAGCTGGAAATTCGTCAAAACAACTGTAACATTGAATGAATAATGGAGTAGAGTCTTTGGGAGCATATTTACTAAAAATGATCAATGACAATTGATGGTAATTTTTTTTCTGTAAAACAAAATCAACAATTAATAGGATTTTTAAATACACAAATTAGTACTTACTGAATCTATAGTCTCGAGTTTCATAAAAGCTCTAGATGCGATATTAAACAAGCCATTTGCTATCGCTGCCAATGCTATGATTGAATATATTTGTTCTGTGTTTAACAAATCTTCGTAGTTACGAAGCATTAATGATGTCCATAGAGCTAAATGAAAGTCTCCTAAAAACAGGTAGTTAGAATATCAAAACAGTACAAATTTTATTAAAACATTAAAAATATAGTGAAGTATCAATTACCATTGTACAGTTGTTGTTGGGCGAGTATTAAAAAATGTACAGATTCAACAATATGCCAACTGTTTTCTATAATTTCGGCACGGGATTTAAACGGTTTAATTCCAAAATTGTCTATTACAATTTCTTTATCAACTGGTTAAAAATTATTAAATTTTATTAAAGAAATAAAATTAGATTAAAAACATGGTAATAACTAATAATAAAACAGAAATCAATTACTCACCATCTAACAGGGTGGATCGAATGTTTTTTTCTTTGTACTCTTCAATCAATAGTGCACCGGCTAAAGCTAACTGTTTAATAATGTTTGGTTGTACATCAGATTTTATTTCTTGATAAACAGTCTAAAATTAAAAAATATGCATAAAGTATTGAGATAACAGGTTATTGCTAATTATATCATTACAGCAAATACTAATTGAGCAGCTTCTGTGTATCGTTCGCTGTTTATGCACTTGGAAACTATTGTCAACACGTCTTTAATATTGTCTAACCACTGACCACGATTGGTATCATTCATACATTTCATGTATTCATTTAATTTGTCCGTATCAAATTCAATGTCTGTTAATGTTGCTTTTGAAAACTAAAATATTCAAATTTGTACTTAGTCACAAAATAATTTATATTAAATATTCAATTTTACCTTTTGATCCATAGACTTGTCTTCAGCCATCCCACTGTTGATAAAAAATACTGAAATTATTTCTAATAATGGATGGTGTTCTGGCAGACTTTTAGCAAGGGATGCTAACGACTCGTAATCTTTGAGTATTATATAACATTCAACTAACTTTTCCGGGTTATCGGCTTTTTTATAGTACTCAACAGCCATATCCCTAAGAGTTAATAAAAAAAATTATAAAATATTAACTGCTTAGTAAGTAACTATTTATTGAACAAATTGTTTTATGTTAGTATTCACCATTGCTGATTATCTAGGAAATGATCGCCAATCCCTTGCCACGCTAAATTCATTGTGAGGCCAGAAATTCCAAGAAGTGAAGAACTTGATTTCAATAGCTCAACAACTTTAAACCAATTGCCTAGTTTCTGGTGTAAAATTACAGCCAAATCTCTACTTAGGAAGAACATGATCAATAACAGTTATTAAAAACTAACTTAAAATAAAATTTATACTTTCGATCGGCTTCAATATATAATTGTTCAGCTTTCACATAATCTCCAAAATATACAGCTACTTCAGCTTTTTGTAAAAGAATATCATTTATGTTGGCTAATTGTTTTACTAATTTGATGCCATAATAATCTTTACATTGTACAAATGCAGTTTCACTTGTTGAAAGGTCTAAAGCTTGCAATGACGCTTCAGCTAATAATCTCCTAAATAAAACAATGTAAATGATTTGACATACATACTAATTTATTAGATGTTACTTTTTATTATGAATATAATTAAATATTTCTTAGAAACAATTTAAGATCAATACAATTTTGTACTTAAAAATTAACACATTTAATCTAAAAGGATGACAATATTTTGTTGATTGTGATGAGTGAAAGTCAAAAAATTAAAGTTGGCAGGAATAACATGTTATGTTACATTTTTTTTTTAAATAAAGTTTAATATATAAATAAATAAAATTTACAAAATTATAGAATAATGGTTGAGTTATAAAAAATATAAAAGAACTTGTTCTTAATTGTTAATAACGTGCTACGTGCAATTTCAAATAATATTAAAAAAAAAAAAAAAATTACAAAACGTTTTTTTGGTTTTTAGCTGTTACTGTAAAATTTATGAATTTACATAGCATATTATTTTGCCTATCTTTTAACTATCAGTACTTACGATAGTCTTGGATGAGGATTATCATTAATAAATTTAATTGCTTCTCCAATGCTGACTTTATCTAAAAGTTGTCTTGTGTCTCGTAATGACTTTGTTTCCAACGTAATAACATAATCAAGAGAAGGGTTTTCTGGAGATTGAATAATTTCGTCTAACATAACTGCTTGAATTTCTAAATTCTTATAAAAATATATATTTATTTAATATAATATAATAAAATTAACAGTTTTCATTAATTGCAATACTTAGAAATGGATTTTAAAAACATTTTAACAATATGTATTTGTTAAGTTATCAATCTATTCTAGCCATTATAAATAAATCAAAATTATTCACTCTTAACTATATAATGAAACCATTACTTCTCGAGGCTTAGACTAATCAACTAATCTTTATAAATAATAAAAAAGTTACATTCCATTCAACTTACTTCAAAAGAAGCGATATAGGCTGAAGTGCTAATTGGTTCTTCAGGGTTAAACCCTCTCATGACATACATTCTAGTTTTCTCCATGATTGCTAAGAGCTCAGGATCGTCTGATGCCCACTTCATAGTCCATACATCTCGTCTTTGGAATGAATTCAAAGCTTCTGAATTAGTTGATTCCTTCACAACATTATCTTCTGATATCTCAACAAGTGTTAATACTCCAGTTGAATCAATGACTGCCAATCGCCTGGATAAAAACAAATATGCTTATAATAAATACAATTATATTTTAACAATATTATGGTAACAGAATTATTAAAAAATAAAATTTACTTAGAATTTGAATTTAATGCCAATTTATAAGGTTTAGAGGATAGTATTTTTCTTTCCACTAAAGCCACTTGAGGCAATGAGTATATTTGCAAAGCACAACTCTCTCTACCAATCAACAAATATTTATCACTTGCTGTTAAACAAGTTATATGATCCTTGGTCTCCTAAATACCACATTTTGAACATTTAATATTAAATTTCAGCATCTTTATAGGTGATTTACTTTTTGAAATGATGAACTTTTGAATTCCCTAGATTCTTGAGTGAGTTCTTCAACTCCAGAAGGAGTATCGTCAACATGAAACATTTTCACTTTTTTACGCTTAACTGTAACCATATAATAAATTAACAAATGTTATGTATTATATCAAGTAACATATATATCTTATTTATATACAAGTATTAAATGTATTAATAATTTACTGTTGGTTATGGATGCAGAATGTGACTTAGGAACAGTATATTGCCAAGTCATGAAGCTAGTGTGTGAAGAAACAACTACAAGAGTCCCATTCATTGCAATCCATATTGGTTCAAAATTAATATGTTTGGCTACAAAACAAATAATATAAAATTGAATAGGTTTATTTTTTAAACATTAAGTTTATTAAAAATAAAATTCTTACAATCAACTATAGTATTTATATTATTGCAAATAATGAGAGTATAAGGTTTAGATTCATCATTATTATTTCGTACAGCAAGAACACAATGATCTTTATAAGCGTCCATACATAACAATGAATCATATTTTGTGTGATAAAACTAAAATATATGGCAGAAAACATATTTTCTATTGTATTAAATGATATATTAAATTATAAGTTAGTTAAAGTACTTACTTCATTTTTTTTTATGTTCCAAAATGTAATTTCTGTAACAGCTTCTTCGTAATTTCTAAACGCATAAACGATTGTGCCAGCAAAATAACACCAAGGATAATCATATCGCACGTTTGCGAAGTAAACAAAACTATCAATGGCTAAGGTAATGCGTAAAGATGTGCTTTCCCAACAACAAGATGACACCATATAACCAGGAATTCTAAGGGTTCTCAAATGCTAAAAAATAAAATTAATATAAAAATGTATGTTATCACATCTATATTATAATGATGAATAAAATACACAAAACTCACCTCTCCGAAAGGTGAATAAAGTTGAAGCACATTGGATTCTTTGACATCTCCATCAACTATTAACGTACCAACCAACGCCAAAACACTGCCATTATGGTTCCATTTGACAGCGACAATCGACATATCGCATTCAAAAACTACTGGATCTATTGTACACTACTTTTATGAATAAACGAGTAAAATAAATATTTAGTTTTAATAAATTACTCATATCATATTGGTCTCTCATCAATTGTACATGTCCTGTTTTGTATGCAATTGCCAACTGTGGGCAGTCGTTCATATTTTTATCAAGCCAATGACAAGCAGTAATTGGCACATTATTAAGAGATACAGGTAGACACACTATGCCTAATTTTGACTGAAATAAAACCACTAATTATACTAGCCCATTTTAAGAACATTATACATACTATGAAATTGCCATCACTATCAAATATATGAACTTCGCCAGTTTTTATGGTAAACAAAAGAAATTTTGAATTTGGAGACCACTGGACTCCTGTCAACATAAGTTTTTTTAATTCTTTGCCCCAGATACGACTACCCTCAACTGAACCAACAATAACAGCTCCTAAAATGAAATTATACATATATAATTAAGTATTAACCAAATAAAGTGAATAGCTAGATTAAGAAATATTTTATAGCAGATTTACCATCCTCATAGACAATACAAATTTTTTCACCATCTCCATTCCATGCCATACCTTTGACGATAGATTTGTTACGATTATTGATCATTTCTTCTTGCCATGTTCCCTGGAATAGACAAGACACATGTATTATAAGTAAACTACGCATAATTAAGCATACTTGCACCATGTATAATTACTATTTAATATTTATACATTACCTTATACAATGTCCAAACTATAATCAGCCCATTTTCGTCGCTTGAAGTCAGTTTATTGTATTTTTCATTCCACACAATAGTCAACACATTACCGGAATGACCCTCGAGAGTTTTGTTTATTGATAGGTTGGCCTGGCCTGCTAATCCTCTGGGCTTACCATCTACCGGTGTACCAGAATCTATTTTCAACACTTTTAAAAGACCATCATCTCCACCCACTGCTATGCAATCCTGACAAGAATTCCATTCAAGACAGTTGATTTTTGTGTTGTTTGGTATAGCGATCTAAACATAGCAATCGTATTGTCACAATAATAACAACTTTTTTACAAAAATAATGATTTACCAACCTTTTTGCTCAAGTACAGGAACATAGTGAAGTATTTTCTCACAACGAAACGTTATATTACTTGTACATCACTTTTAACTCATAACTAAGGTCTGGCAAACGATTTCATTTCAGTTATTATTTTTCGAAATCGTCTTCTTTCGAGGATCAAGACCAAACAACAAAACATCCGACTATCGGTAGTCGCAGTCAAGAGTCAAGACTCCAGACAACGGAGACGACGGGACCGGTTGTTTCGATATCAATTATCTATTTAGTGCTTATCACAACGACTCATAATCAGGGTCTTAAATAGGTATCTACGTACTGGTTATAACTCATAAGTCTATTACAAAAATCAAAATATTTTTAATTCTGTAAAATACAATAATATGCTATGTGCAATCCATTTTTCAAGAACAAATTATAAATAATTTTTCTTGAGAAAATATAAAATATAATTCAAATATTTAATTATAATTGTTCGTTTAGATTTTTATATCTATTTTTTCATATCACGAACTAATATAGTCAAATACAATTATTTTATAAATGATATATTTTGTGTTCGTGTAGTAAATATTATTGTCTATTAATGATATTAATTAATTTTGATTGTTATCAATTTAAACATTTATTTTTTATTGATATTTGATACTTATTTTAATGTACCTATGTAATATAAATAATATAATACAATATTGAATACATATTTTACATCGTATCTACTTAGTACTTGTTTGATATTTAGTTATTTTTTTCTTTACTGATTGATTACTTAGGTGCATCCCCAAGAGTGGAAGGAGGGAGGGAGAAATGGGGTATCTGCGATCTGCCTACCTCATAACAAAATTACCCTTTTTGTTTACAAAATATTAATGATCAATGATCAAAATTTCAGTTTAATAATTAATTTTATGAGAAGAAAAAATTAGAACCTACCTAACCACATAAATAATTATTATCTATGGATAACCATAATTAAACAAAAGATGCGCATATGCATAGAAATACACAATTTAATATAAATAATATAATTTATCGATTTGGAAAAATAAACAAAAATAGAATTCAAAATACAAATAATATAGGTATGTACCTAATATTAAATTTTACTTATTTATTATTTTTAGGATTATTTTATTTATTATTTATTATTTAATTACTTCTATTACAATTAAGAATTCTATGATCAAGTAGGTATCTACTATGTATATAATTTATTTATTTTTAATCATAATTTTTAAATTAAAATATAAATTACGTTATCAATATTGAAACTTAAATAAAGATTAAACTTTAAAGGTATATGTACTAAATAATGCTTTTTTATGTGATTTTATTTGTAATGTAGTCTCTCATAATAAAGTAAGAATGATTTAATTTCTTTCAAAATTTTGATAAAATAGTAATTATTGATTTTAAAAATAGGTTTACTCTTTTAAGATTTGTTCAGGAATGCCCTTGTACTTACTTCAAAAATGCCTTTGTCTCAGTTTTTAATAAAAGATTGTAGAAATGAGAGTTCTAATAAGCCACTTTAAGTTAAAAATCCAAAGTGAAAATTTTAATTTGTTTTTTAGAAACGCCGATTATGAAAAAACAGTTAGGGTAGAATTCAGTGAAGAAGACCAATTAATGTCAATTCCGATGAGTTTAGTATGATTACTTATAGATTTTTCTGTAAAAGGTTAACCTCGATTTTAAAATAATTTCATAATACTTTTATAACTTAAATTAAATTACTACAACTCAGATATATTATATTATATTTTTTATTAAATTATATAGGTATTTAATATATAATATGCGTTATTCATGAAGCAAATAAAACAGGCAATTGCTGTAATATATAGGTTATAGGTAAAGTAATAAATTATAATATTTATAAGACAATGTCATAGAATATATAGTTTGACAATGCCATTTATTTAAATTTACAGATTCAATTGAAAAAAGAACATAAAAAAACATTTTGGCATGCATTCTTGGGTAATTTGAATTTTCATAATAATCAAAATAATATAATATATTATTAGTATAATACTAATATATACATTTATATATATTTTATATAAAATCAAATACTTTATTATTGATTTTAAAAGTATATTTAGAAAGTATAAATAACAGCTGTTCGAATAAGGTTTTAAATATTTCAATCTAAACACACTATTACAAATTAGTTATTAGAGATCACTTGCTGGCTGATACTCAAGAAATCAATTTGAGAGAAAATAAACAAACACCCATAAAATATAGCTGTGTTTGACTGTCACACGATATTTATATGATTATTACGCCGTGGTTTTGTCAGCTTTATTACTGATAAAACAAAACAAATTGTTTGAAAAAAATGCACAGTCAACGATGGATGTTCACGTCACCTGGTGGAGAAAACGAATACAAGAAGCCTTCAGTCACCCGAGCACATTATGATGCAGTTTTCGAAGCGAAGAAGATGCAGGAGAAAAACCATATCGAGACTGAAAGTGGTAAGTTTCAAATCATCGAAAACGGAGATCGTAATAAGAACTTAAAAGCTCAAATTTTATGGTTGGGGGGGAGTTGGCCAAGAAAGGTAATTAGATCTAGCATAGTGGCTTAGCGGACTGAAGGATTTGTCGTTTAAATCCATATTTTTCTCATGCAATAATAATGTTTAAAAATATATGTTTGTACCAAAGAACGTAAGAGACGCATGCTGGAGGATTTCATGTGGCAACAGATGACCAAAAGGACGTTGGATCAGATTGAAAAGCAACAGCGATGCGCTAATGAGACTAAAGCCTGTAGTACGTACGCAGAGTCCTTTGTTTTACCTGGATTTAAAGTTAAAGAACTGGGTTTTGAAATCGACGAAGAAGTATGTTTTTTGAAAAATCTGTCGTTAATAATAAAAATTACCCACCATAAAAGTTATACACCCAAATAGTGGTATATTTAGACCTTAATTTGGAGGAGGAGTTTAAATTTAAAAATTAAGTGCCTTAATACTGGCCAAAAAGAGTATTTCAGAACAAATTGTCATGTCAAAAAAAATTTTGAAAGGAGAGGGTTTTAACTTCTATTTTTAGTACACCATTGAACCATATGAACCTAAATATATTAAATATATACTAAATTACCATATGATCTAACCTACATACACAAATAACTTATCAATCTACTTGAAAATCTGCCATATTGATATATAATGACTTACTTTTTTATTAGTTTAGATAATTTCGGTCTAAACAGTGTAAGTGTTTTTTTTAATAAAATATTAATCATAAATTGATAACAATAAATTTTACATTTATTTTAAAATTGTAAAGTATGCATTTATTTTGGTTAAAATATGCAAAAATATGCCATTAATATGTATACGTCAAAAGATATGAAATAAATACTTAAAAAAAAATCATACATTTTAAAATTAATTAAATAATATTCTTAATTATTCATGCTATTCAAATTTATTACATAAAACAATTACATGGTGTTTTACATTTTCAAAACTGGACGGTCTTTAATTAGACTTTAATATATAGGTATACCTTCACTAGGTGTTTTTGAATATTGTCAATACATACTGTCTCATGATAAAAACGTCTAGTAACAAAATATACCATAAAATATACATTTTTCGCGTTTTTATAGTCGAAATATGTAATGATATTAATTTTATTTAAAATATGCAATAATATGTATTTTGTCAAAAATATGCAAAAATCTGCAAAATAAAATTACCACTGTTTATTTCATCATGAGATGATTCGTGGACATTGTTCACAAAAGCAATAATCAGAAGTTGCAAAAAAAATAAATCGTTGCACATAAATTCTAGCCCTAAATTATAATATATATATACATTATATAAATTATACAACATTGTAACAAGGAATTATTTTTTTAGCTTCAACAAAAATATCCACTGTACACCGATATGGCAAAGTCGTCAAACGTAAGAGACTTAGATACGATTAAAGCAAAAAATCCTATACATAAATCTTATACAAAGTTATTCAGAAAAGACAGTCGTTTTACCAGTCGTCTAAGTAATCCAATGGATATTCATGCTCCAGTTGAGCCTGGTCATTTCGCGTATATCTAATAAAATTACTTTATAATAAAATGTTATGCTTATTAGTTATATACTACCATGTTATGTAAGTGTAACATAACGTAATAGATCTTTGAGCATAAGCAAAATTTTTTATTTTTTTTTTTGGGGGGGGGGAGTTTATTTCTCTAGAAACGAATTTAGTCCCCAAGATGTAATAGAATATATATCAAAATTTATTATTTTATTATCACATAATAATTTTTAAAATAATATAATTTATTATATGCATTTTTTAAAATTGATATAAACATTTTTTTTTTTGTCAACATCATCAAAACTAAGTTTTCAACCACAGATTCTGTAATCTATACATTATGCTTATCTGTTAACTAATTACCTATTTATATTTGTTATTAAAAATATATAAAATTGATTAAAATTATATTATTAGCACACTATATTTTGTCTTATCACCCGAAACATAGTAAATTTATGTTCAGTAGAATTAATTTTGTGTTGAGTAAATTGAACAGTTATTAAACAAAAAATTAAAATCATTTTTTATCTATATTTGTACGTTGTATTTTTTATAACCTTTTTGTTAGTTCTGAGTAGCTACGTAAAATATTAAACTTTAAAAATAATCATTAGATCATAGAAAGATTAAAATATCGTAGAAATAAGTGAACATATAAACTTATAATTTTTTACTTTTAAGCTTTGATAATTGGTCTATTAGCTCTGATATTAAAGTTAATAATATAAAATTGTTTTTTTTTTTCACTTGAAAGTAAATTTTCTATGTTACGCATGGATCAAACCATCAAAGAGAGAAAACAAAAAATATATTCTTATAAGTTGTAATATTATCTTAATTCATGATATTGTCCATTGTAATTTATTTTCTTTTTAATTTTAGTTCGCATTATTTTATTTCTTATTGGGTGTTTTAATTTATTCTGTTGTAGATGGCTATGTTGTGTGTACTGAGTAGGGTGATAATTCTATACATTTTAACGGGAAAGAATAATAAATAAAATGTTGTTAAATTTAAAAATTGTTTAATGTAAACTAAAGAAATATAATATGGTGGGCTTAATCTTCGTGGGCCTATTAAAATAAACTTGTTTAGTTATTCCATCAAGAAAAAAAAATTGAACTTACACTTATGGCTAACATCAGTGAAAATATAGACCAATCGATTTTGTTAATTAATTTAAGTTTTTAAGTTATGTCAAGTATCCGTTAATCGTTAATCACGCGTGTGTTGTCGAGAATAGAAACACAATGATATGAGTGATAGGGGTGATCTATATTGGCATATTGGCTATTGCTGTAATATAATTTGAAAAATATATAATAGGTTTACCTAGGCATCTAGCATTTAGAGGACACCATATTCGCATGTGTGTCTCCGTCTTACATACCTACATATACAACATTGCAAATATTCGTTGAGTAGAACACATTACGTGTTGTTAAGTTTAATATTAGAAAGAATTTACAAATTATAAAAAATAATGGCGAGGACATTATGTGTCATAGCATTGATCTTTTTCGATATTTTAATTTTTAAGCTAGATGTGGGCATTTTAAATTTGTGAAATTTTACATACTCGATCATATCTTGGTTAAAAAATAAAATAACAAAAAAAAAAAAAAAAAAATCAATGCTACGACACTGATAATGTTTTCAATTTTAATTTAGATAATAGGTAAATTCTATCTAATATTAAATCTAACAACATGTAACATGTTCTACTGAGTGAAAATCTGCTATATTGTATATACTTAAGACGGAGAAAACACATGCTGGTGTGGCATCCTCTTAATGTTTTATTCCTTCAAATTTGTAAAATCTATAAAACTAAAAAAAATGCATATATTATATTGCAGAATAAATTACTTAAATAATTGTTTTGTTCTAATTTTTTTTTTTTTTTTTTTGCTTTTTATTAGAAAATTGTTCTAAATTAAGTGTGTCATATATTATTGAATATTAATATATTTCTATGCAATCAGTAAAATCTTTCAAATTCATTGTTCTTCAAATGAAAATCTAATTTAATTATTATTAAAAAATTATAATGAGGTGCAAAGCTATATTCAGCGTTGACTGGCATCGGGCAACCTAAATTTTTCGAGCCCCTTATTTTTGATAGAGTTAAACCTAATCTTTAAAAGAAATTTTTTTTTTTGTTATACACAAAAACTGATAATTTTATTAATTTATAAACGATCATACGGGGATACAATGTTAATAAATAAATAAGTTCTAAAAAGTGGTTGGGGCCTGTTTGATGTTTCTTCAGCTGGGACATGTCCAGATTTTTCATTTTTTCGTATGCATGGTCCCCTTTAAATAGATTCAGAGGCGGAAATTTTACCCGAGAAAATTGGTCTGAGTGCTCTTTATAAGTTCATTTTTTTAAGAGATATACTGGCTACATATAAATACTTTTTTTTAACCATTTAAATAAATTTATTTACTAGTATAATATTCTGGTATAATATGCATATTATTTTATATTATTACTAAAAGAAACGGTTAGTTAGAAAGTAGAATTGACATACCATATCGACGAATATATTAAATTTAATATTTTAATCTATTCTATGATGCCTCCAACGAACTAAATAGTGTTTTCAACGATTTACATATTATAAGCCATATAACACATAACATTTGAATAGTTAATTAAGAAATTATCTTGTTCCATTTTTACTGTATATTCAAAACTAGTACCTTAATTTTAAAACAATTTTATACATAAATATATATATATATATATATATATTATGTATATGATATATACATGAAATACATTTCAAAAATAATACTTTGGAAAATTAATTTATTATGAAGTAATTTATACTTTAATAAAATTAATTTTATATTAATACTAAATAGATATTTATATATAAAAATGCCATGCCAATTATCAAGCTGGTTAGAGTTTTAGCTAGATAATTTTATTTACAAATATGTATGAAATAAAAAAAAATGTTTTACGTATACATTTTTTGTGAAGTCATTTTAGAGCTAATAAATGCACAATGAACAAATAATTATAAAAAAAAATAATTTTTTTATGGTTGTGAGGGAGAGTGATAAACCATTATTTAATCATATTTATATCATTGAGAAAATGAGAAAGTTTTAGTTACCATGGTTTTAGCTATACACTGAGGCTTATAGTAGCCATTTATTATCGTTTCGTTTAATTGTTTTAATATTTCCTGCAATATCCAGGTCCCAAGTCTACTAATCATTAATGATTGTATTATAAATGTATAATATGTTAATGACTTAATATATGATTGACGGAAAAACCAGAGTGATACATGTGTTCGTTTTTAGTAATGTTACAAAGTTAATAGATAATAGTCGTACTCGTACATTTGTTGTGGCGTGTAGGTACTCCTAATTCCTATAAATCATTTTTATTTTAAATTGTAATTTACAATAAATACAATTTATAACTCATAATATCGTTCATTTGCTCTATAAGACATTTCGTTGAAATTAATATTATTGTTAATAGTCATTACTCATTAGTCATTATATGTTATTATACTATATAGTTTTTTAAGATATAAGATGTTCATAATTTATTATTTAGTTGTATTCGAATGTATAACAGACATACAGTAAACATTCCTATTGGCTATTGATATAATATCCCTATACACAATTATATAATATGTTATAGTTACTTATGCAATATTTGTGTACTTCAGTTAATTAAATATTTTAATATGTAATTAAAACGAATTAAATGATTAAATTTATTTATTTTTATATTATACCTTTATACGAAATAATAGGGTTTTGATGTATAATTTTTTGTCTTTGACCTTTGTTCATATTTCATAATATATTCCACTTAAACTTTATTTAATGCAGTTGAATATATTATAATTTACACACGTGTTCGTATTATATACGTCATAATGCATACTTCAATTAATTAATACTGCTCATCGGTTGTTTTCTCATTATATTTATATTTCTTAGTAGAGTTCATCTTGCATCGTCGATATAGTCTTTTATTCACACCGTTTTGGGATTATCTATTCATTATTATCATTGTTTAATTAATATAAAAAAAAAAAAAAAAAAAAAATAGAATAAAATAATATGTTATAACTAATATTCAATCAAGCATTCTTATAAACGGAGTAAATAACATAGATCTTCTGTTTAGTCAGTATCTAGTTCAGGCAAGTCATATCTACTGATTATTACATTGATAACATAACATACTATATTGTAAAAAAATGATTAAATATTAATTTTATTTTTTTCTATGGTTATGTATAATAATAAATTAAACTATTAAACTATTTTATGCATAAATAAATAAATACATATAATTTATGTATACATAAAAATAATTTATGAATTTTCGAAGAATAAAATATACACTATAGTTACTTGATTACATAGGTTTAACCATCAAAAAATATATGCGCGCATAATAACTCTAATAAAAGATGTAGTAAATATTATTAAAAAATATAACAATTGATATTATATTATGTTGCATAGATTAGGTACACTAATTTTTTATAACCGTCCTTATTAATATTCAATTTTATCAAGGTTATCTTAATATATATATTACAGTTAATGTAGTTGTAGCTGATGTTTGTTATAATAATTATAAATAAGGTGTCTAATTAGAGGTAATATTATTGGTAGATTATTTTTACAGTAAACCGAGCAAGTTATTCGTTGTATAATTAGGTAAAAATATTATGATTTCATTTTACTTTCAATAATAATTTAATAATATTATGATACTTGCAAGGTATTTGACCAAATTTGAACATTTTTGTGAAATATAGGCTGAAGCATCTTATTAAAAAATTAGAAATACCAATCAAGTGAAAGTAAAAGAATAACCACGTTGCCTTTAAATAGTCTTATAATGTTAATGATAAAACACTTATTAATGAGTTATGCTTGTGAGTTATGAGTGTTATGACTAATGAGTTTATGACTTAAGGTACATAGAAGTTTTTTGTGTAGGATTTTAGTAATATAGGTTTTAGTCGTAGGTAGCTATGTATAAAGTGTATTTTAAAATGAATAAAGAATTATGATCGATCTATTTTCATACAGATATGATAATAGTATATTAGTATATGATGAAATTTAACACTTATTATATAGTGTTAGTACAGAGATTTTATTT